ATTATATAAAACATTGACATACTTTATATATAATTATATATAAAATATATGTCCATTATATATATATATTAATAAAAAATGTATAATTTTGATGAAAGGATAAAAATTGAAAGTATAATTTTAGCATTGTTTCTTTTACAAATTCAAATTTGAAAAAATAAGAAAGAACTGTCCTACAACATTAGATTATTTATTGTGATAGAATTAGGCTTATAATACTAACTTTATTCTCATATCTTACAAACAAATAATTGTTTTTTTCCTTAATAACATTTAATTATGCAGTTTGTTAATACTATTTAACATCATAGTAGAATATTTGACAATAATGAAACATATTTTTTAACATTTATAATTTAACATATTCTTACCGTATTTTATATACACCGTGAACACGTTCAGCTGTATATTAAGGATATATTCACACAACTTGCATAGCCGCATAAAAAAATTATCCAATCGCATTTTTCCTTCAAAGACGCACATAAAATGTCATAAGTGGAGAGCACAGCTCTTGCATAACACATAAAGCCAGTTCTACATTAGTTGGAAGCTGATCGCAAGTTGCGACAGCCAATCTGAAGCTTGCATTTTGAAATCAAAACTTTATATTGGCTGTCACAACAAATTTGCGATCTGCGCAACAAGCTTGCAACTAATATAGAACTAGCTTAACACGTTAATCGAGAGAGAGATTGATTGGATATCACGCCAACTTCTACCACGCGGCAAGTGTTCTATGTGCAGAAACCATAAGACCTAAGTCCGTCATTTTCTATCCAACTAGAATCTATGTCAATGGACGAGTTCAAAACAGTAAAGTGACTAGGCATGCTTATCGAGCGGATGAGTATGATTGGTTCTTACCTGCGGATCCAACCAATCATGTTTAATTGCTCGATGAACGGACTTAGCTGCTTTGATTTGAACGCGCTCATTGACTGCATTCAGTGAACTTCTTAGAGCATATACGGTCAATGCGATGCTACAAATGATTTGAAGCGTTTTAATTGGTAAAATTCTTTAATTTGTAAAATTCTTTCTTCTAAATTTTTTCTTCTTTAATCCATCAAATGCTTGAAAATATTTGTAGCAAGTCTTTGACTACAGCCATAGACATGGAAGAAGCCTATATCTCCTGTGGCCCAAATGTGTATCCAAGATGCATGTGAGAGAGAAAGATTACATGGAACTTTCGTCCTTTATGCGCATGTACCAACACTAATTAGTATAATATGTTACATTACAGTATAATTATTATCGGCATTTTAAGGCATGTGCAGAGAGAACGAATGCTCTCTATGTACATTTGTCTTTCTTTCACACGTGCATTTTCTTATATGTCTTTCTCTCTCACGTGCATCTTGGACACAATTCTGAATGACAATGCTCCCTCCATGTTTATATGATTTAAGGCGAACTCAATAATTGAGTGTACTTACTATTCTTGGTGTATTTTTTTAGATTATCCAATCAGCATTTTAGACTTGGAAGAATATATCAATAGCAGCGAGCGCTCATTCACACTGTGTGTTTGCTGAATGCACCCTTCAGGCCAATATCCTTTTAAGCAAATATTACATTCGTCTTACGACAAATTTTTCAAGCGTGTTATTGACTACAAAATAAAGAGGATCTCTTTGTCATATAGCCAATCAACAGGCTTGAAAAATTTGTCGTATGATAAAAAACAAACGCATGTAATATTGGTTTTAATTTTAAAATTTAATTGGCTGCAGGATAAAGAGATCCGACAACCTCTTTATCCTGCAGCCAACTCGCAGATTTGAAAAATTTATCATACAAATATAAATCAGCCTTAAGCCTAATCTACACAGCATTTCCACTGAGCACTTGATACATGTATTAACTAGTAACTTTCTATTAAATTATATCAAGAATTATATCATCATCAAGGATGTGGTCAACGCGATATTACAAACCCTTTAAAGCGTTTTTTAATTGGTCAGTTTGAATAAAATTTTTTCTTCTAATTGGTCCATCAAACGCTTTAAAGTATTTGCGAGATTTTGACCACAGCCCTGAGAGTCGATTGTATATCTTGAAATGAGGTAAAAATTACAAATGTGAAAACATAGAATAGAATAAACTAGAATATTCATAATTTAATTGGTCAATATCTAGTAATCGTTGCTTACTTTTGTAATTTTCATCTCATTACAAAAACACAATCGAGCTCCTAGATTGAATAATTTAGAGTTACGAGTAGTTTCTTACGTATAATACGTATGTATAAGGTCATGGAGTCTAATTCATGCTGATAAGGTTCATGAGCATCGTTTGTCTTCATTCACACAACATGGATGAAATGATTTTTAAGCATTGTGAGCATAAATCGGACCACGGCTTAATATATATATATATATAATACGTTATGTTTAATACATAATATATAATAACATACATGCCCAATCCTCACCTAGCTCTGAAATCTACCATCCTCCTTCCTTAAGCATGGGTAGAGAATTGACGCCGCCATCTTAGCTGCCAGTTTAATCTAGTTCCGGCTTTCAATGAGGGCGGAAGATTGTCGGATCGCACCACCTTGTTATTTTATATCCGCAATTAATTCCGCGATCCGTTTACAAATTAATTTCCTCTTCTGTTAACAGTTAGGGGGCTTCGCACAATAAAAGGAACAGAAAATAAGAATTTCAACTTACAGAAATCATGTATTGTGGAATATAACAGTTTCTTATAGGTTGGAATTCTTATTCTCTATTCTCTGTTTCCAGTTCCTTTTATTGTGCGAAGCCTTTTATTATTAGTCAATATAAATTGGTGCGTTAATCTGAGTTATTAACTCAGTTATTAACTGAGTTATTAACTATAAGGCCGCTTTTTCATGCTAATGTTTGACGCTCATTTTCAGCATCAAAACAGGTCACGTAATCAAAATTGATCTAGTTTCCACTGAGGGTTTAAACCGGATCAGAATGTAAGAACCAATCAAATACAGTCAAGCATTCCCTTGTTGTTCGACTGTAACAGGGAAATATTCGATTGTAATTGGTTGGTTCTTACATTCTGATCCGGTTTAAACCCTCGGTGGAAAGCCATTGATGCTTCGTCAATTTTGATCACATTACCTGTTCGACTCTCGAATCGCGTCAAAGTTGAACTCAATTGAGTTTTAATATTTTCGATTAGACTTGAAAAGTTTGTCGTACGACAAAATCGGACGCATGTAATATTGGCCTAAGAATACAAGATTGTGCATAATAGCAATACTGGAAACAATCAAAGAGATTGAGAAAAGGACTAAAAATGGCGGATATTCATATTATGTGCCTTATCTCTATTACACTCTTGTCCTTCTTATCTACGCACAATTCATGCTAGCGCTCATATCGCATGCGCGCGCATGAGTCGCCATTTTGTCACGTTTTATTCTACGCGCATCCCCCACCAGGATTGAAAACAAGCGAAGGTCGACGCTGCTCGTCGTGATCGCGGACTCAGCGCATTTTGGTTAGGTTACGGATTGCGTTGTTACGTCTAGGAATTCGAAACAGTAAGTAGAACTGTTCCGTAGCCATTGTGTTCGTTTCCACGTCCGCGTCTCGCCGGTTTACGGTCGGCGTGTCGTCCGCGCGGCGACGCTGCGCCTCTGCTCGAGCTCCGCGCGCGCGTGTGTTTCACTTCGTCGAAAGAGAAAGAGAGAAAGAGAGAGAGTGAGTGAGAGAAAAAGAGATTCTTAAAGGCGAAAGGCCTTACTTGGAAGTTGGATGTTCGCCGGATCGGCTTAAGCATCGTCGCTTGTATCACCGTTGATACAGTTGTCGTTATCGTCGTCGCCACTGTCGCTCGTCGCGCCACTCGACACTCCTCGTCCGGCGTCACGACGCCACCGTCATTCCTCGTCGACGCCACGTTACGGGGAACGCGGCACGTCCTGTTTTCGTTATAACCTCCAACGCTTGCTATAACCTATATAATTATAACCTCAGATCCGTGTCAAGACACGATCCGACGCCGATCGACCGAGTTTGGGCCGATCGCGCTGCTGCGGTTCCGCGCGATTATCGTTTGTCTCGTAACAGCGACGAAGATTTGGTCGGTGGAGGGGGGAGGAAGAGGGGAACCTCAGTTTGCCGATAATTATTCGCCGTAGCATGTTGCTCGTAATATCATGACCCGTTCCCGTTATACTTCTCGGAAGGGATACGCGAACGTCGTTCACGCATCTACGCCGTAAACTTCCTCATGGTGGGTCGTCGCATGATGTAACCTCCGATTCGCAGAGGATCACTCGCGTAGAATCGTAATCTCAAGACAGATCGCCTTAATACCTTGTGAGTTCTCGTAATGTCGATCCATTTTGCAATAAAAACGTGCAATTTGTGAATATTGAATAATAAATGAATTCTCATCGATCGTGTGGCTGCAACAGGTTTGTGAATCCAGCGTCCCATTCAACTGACTTGAATTCGCGAGAGCAATCGCGCGATTTATATGCAACGACACTCTAGAGTTAGCTTTTTTACTGTTATGTTAT